GGGGGGAGGGAGGAAGCAGGAAGGAACAGTCCAGGGTTGCTGCCATCCCTCTTGGGACTCCTAAAGGCCAGTGCTCTGAGGCTGAGCAGGACACATACGTTGGCCTGAGTGCATCCCCTAGAAGCCGGCAACTTCCTCTCCCCTTCTCTCGCTCCTCCCAGCACTAGGGTGCTGAGATGTCAGCAGAACACAAGGGCCAACCAGGACTGTCCAAGGTTGAGGAGCCAAAGGCTATCTGAAGCACTGGTCCTGCCTACTCATAAATGCCCTCCACCCACCATCTCAGCCCCTGCCCCTCAGCCCTCCAGAGAAACCGGTGAAGGTCAGTAGACCCAAAAGAGCTGCCAACTGGACTCCAGCCTCCGTCCACCCCAGGGCACGCTCACCACAGCCCTCAGCCCTTACCACCACCACACCACAACCCTGCGCTCCGCTCAGGCCTCAGAGGCCTTCATTCCTGCCCTTCCCCCACCCACTCCACCACCCCTATAGATCCCATTGGTCCTCTGGAAGACGTGCTTATTTGGCCATAGAAGGCGACGGGGTGGCCCCTGCCCCGTAGCCCTCCCTGAGCCCGGAGGCCCAGGCGGTCAGCTCACCTGGGCATCCTGCAGCAGGTCCTCCAGGCGGGTGACCGTGACAGAACGGTCACAGGTGTACTTCCTGCGCAGAGTCTCCTGAAGTTTCTGTAGCTGCTCCTCAGCTTCCCGGATGTCTGAGAAGAACTGAGGCGGGAGGGTGGAGTCACACGGGGCTCCCTGCTCCAGCCCTGCCCCACGCCAGAGCGGCCCCCAGAAACAGGACTGACTCTGAAGGGAGCAAAGTGGGCAGCCAGGTTCTCACCTGGAAGTAGGCAGTGTTCTCCTTCAGGTGGGCCTCGATGCAGCAGCACATCTGAAGCATCCAGCTCCACTGCGTCTGCAGACCAGCCTGAAACGACTGCCGCCCCACCGGGGGTCAGGGCCCACTCCTTCCCCGACAACATGCTGACCCCAATTGCAGCGTAGCCACTCCATCCACCAGCCCACCGTGCCAAACCCCCAACAGTGTGCTGACTGCCCCCACTGCTTCCTGACTCCCCCTCGCTGTGCCCTGCCGCCCCCCTCCCGGGGGCTAGTGTCCCACCTCCACCGTGGCCCTGGCGGGGTGCCCCTCCCGGAGCAGCCGGTCTCCTGTGTTCTGGATCTCCTTGATCTTCTTTTCCTTCAGCTCAAGCTCACGCATCAGGGCCTGATGCAGAAACATAGGGTCTCAGAGGTGTGCTGAGGTCTCGGCACACATGGCCCAGGCCACAGTCCCCTCCCGATCAGCCTCACCGAGTAGCTCTCCTTCTTGGCAGCCATGTTGACGTTCCGCTCGCTCCAGTCAAAGCCCACTTCCTCCTCCTCCTTCTCGCTCAGCCACATCAGTTCCTTGGTGGCGGCCACTACAAAGCCGTGCAGGCTTTCCAGAGCTCGTAGCCGCCCCTTAGAGGAGTTCTGGGGGAGAGGGGGGAGGGATACGTCAGCTGATCATCTACACCCCCAGGCCCTGCCCTGGTCTGTCGACAACCCACCCATTGGCCACTCACCAGCAGCTTGGCATACTGCAAGTCCAGCCGACCCAGGCAGTCAGAGTAGGTGCCCCGAGTGGCTGGTGAGAGCTGGCTCTGTGGGATACCAGGAGGTGAGGCAGGCGGAGGCTACTGGCCCACCACCCTGCCAGCCCTCCACACCCGTTCATCTCTTCTGCCCGCTCTGGGCACGCTCACCTCATCAGTGCGTGCCCGCTCGATCTTGGCCCGGAACTCCTCTATAGACTGGTGCAGGCCACGGTGACAGCCCAGCTGTGCCTCCACACTGGGCAGATCCACACCCCACTCAGCACCATCCACTCGCCGCTGGTTCTCCTCCACCCAGGCCAGTAGGTCCTGCAGGTAGCGCAGGGTGGAGCTCTCGAGCTCCGTGTCGCGGGGCCTTGGCATGCTCTGAGTCACAGGGGCACCTGCCTTTAGTCGGAGGTTGTACTCGGTGCGGATGGCGACTAGACGCTCATGCAGCCGGTATACCCTGGAGAGAGATCAGCCAGTCAGCCGGGGCCTAGCAGTCCAGGCCAGAGCTGCCCAGGGTGGACGCGGGGGCCCACCTGCGGTACATCTGCTCGCCCTGCGGGTGTCGCCCATCCTTGAGGGTCTGCACATCATTGAAAAGCAGTCTGATCATGTTGTCCGCCTTGTCCAGGTCCCGCTCCACCTCAGCCGACCGCTGCGGTGCCTTGCCTGCAAGTAGCAGCCGGATGTCCTGCAAAGAGACGCCGAGATCAGAGCCGGCACCCTGGGGCCCCACAGCGGCTCTCTACAGAGCCCCAAGAGCAAAGCCAGGCTCACGGCCCCATTGAACTGTCAGGCAGGGCTGAGGGTGCTCAGTGTATTTCAGGCGCCCTCTGCTGTTCAGCCTGGTAGGCTGCACACACATGCGGAGCTCAGCTCTGGGCCCCGCCCCACGCCCAAGGAGCCCAGCAGGCCCCGCCCCTAAACCCGCCGCAGAGCCCAGCAGGCTGGCTCCTCCGACCGCAGCTGCAGGGCGGGGCAGGATCCTGGAGCTCCCCCCTCGTCCCCCCTCAGCCCCCCTCACCGCCTGCAGCAGGGCGTCGGCCTGGTTCAGCTGCTCCTCACACAGTCCGGACTCCATCTGTAGTTTGCTGACTATGCGCTGCAGACACTCCAACCTGGGGAGCCGTAGGTGGCCCAGTGCCGAGAGTGAGGGGTGAGGGGCCCACGGAACACACTGGCTCCCCACTGCCTGCTGCCTGCCTGCCCGCCTGCCCGCCCGAGGCCCCACTGCCCACTGCTGCTGCAGCCTCCCAGCCTGGGGGGTTTCCTCCCCGCCATGACTCACCCTGGTGGCTCCCCCTCCCGCCCCACCCACCTCTCGAACTCGCTACGCAGCTGCTTCTCCCGCTCCAAGATGGCCACGTGCAGCTTGCCCCACTCCTTCTCCACGTCCAGCGGGTGGTAGCCAGGTGGCACCTTGAGCTGGCCGGCTTGCACCGCACTCTGTGGGCAGGGGCTGAGTCTCAAGCAGGGCACCCCCCCCCCCAGACAGTTTCCCACCTCCAGCAGCCTCCTGGGCTCTCCACTCACCTCCAGGCACTGATAGATGCCTTTGGATCGGTTCTTGTCAGCCTCCTTGGCCCGAAGCTCCGTTTCCTTAAACTTGAGGAACTGGCACCATAGGATCTGAGAAGACAAAGGGATGGATCAGCAGCCCCCCCCCCCAGCCAGGCCCCAGGCTCCCGTCAGGCAGGCTGTACCTCAATCTCCTCGAAGCTGGAGGGAAACTTGCGCTCCTCAAAGGCAATCGTGTGGTGTCGGATCCACTGAAGCAGCAGCACCACCAGCTCTCGGTACTCCTGCCAACGTAGCTGCAGCTCCTACCAACGGGAGGATGGGCCGGACGGGGGTCAGGGAGGACCTGGTGACCAGCACTCCACCCCCTTTCCCACTGTCCCCCAACTCACATTGGCCTTCACCCCATCCTGCGCATCTGGCACCCGGGGCATGGCGTCGTACAGGGATGAGACGTACGTGATGATGGATTTCTCGTCAGGGTGGGTTACGTCCACGTCTGCAGGGGACAGAAGAAGATCAGAGAGTGCCCAGGATAGGTGGGGGCCAGGACCCAGGGAGCTCTGGGCAGGCAGGGAAGGCACACATACCCTCAGGGTCCAGCAGCCGAGTCACCCCAAGGTCCCGCTCCGCCACGGAGAACGCCTGGTCCAAGTTCTCCAAGTTGGTCTGACGGTACACCTTGTTCATGTCGACAAGCATGGGCCTGGAGGCAGAGGCCCTAGTCAGATCACCCCGAAACATCCCTGCTCCCTCCCACACGCATACTGGACACCGTGCAGTCTGGAACCCAGAAACCAACGGTCAGTCTAGGCACAGGTGGGCACCCTGGGCTGCAGGCCTCAGCTGCGAGCTAAGGTCTCTGGGGGTCCCAGGGAGTTGGGTCTTACACAATGCAGCCAGGCATGGCTGTGGAGAACCATCAGCTCTCTGGCCCCAGCAATGGCCCTGAAGGGCTCAGGAGGCGAGACCCACATGATACAGCCTGTCCCCGCCTGTGGAGCTGGCACTGCTAACTCACTGCCTCGGGCCGCAGTTCCCACCAGCCCAGACGTTGCTCCTGCCCCAACGTGTCCAGAGCTGCCCCACTGTGCCCTTCGCTTCCCCAGCCCCGCCTCTGCGTACTTGTGCCGGTGAATGATAGCATTGAAGAGTCGGCCGTCCCGCCAACTGGACGTGAAGTTGTCACAACGCAGGCCCTGGTAGCCCTCCACCATGCGTTGTGACCACAGTAGCAGCTTCTCTTTGGCGGTCATGTCTTCTGACTGCCCACTCACCTGGATATCTGAGATCTGCAAGTGACCAAGCCCCCACAAGCCCACTGTAGTTTCTACAGATCCAGCCAAGGTCTCATCCCCTTTTCTGCCACACTGGTGGGTACCCTGGGCACCCCTCAGCTAGAAGGCAAGGACCTAGCCCCTCCTGTGTGCTCTGAGGCTGGCACGGGTCAGGTGAGTAGGCACGGGAGGAGAGCCCCCCACCCACTCCCCACGCTTTGGACGTGTCCAGAGCTGCCCCACTGTGCCCTTCGCTTCCCCAGCCCCGCCTCTGGTGTCCCTTTGTGCCTGCAGGCTGGGGGTTTTGGGGGGGTCTGTGTGGGCCTGTACTTCCTCCATCACTCAGGCCTGAGTTGGCCCACAGCCTGTGCCGTCTGTCTGTCCGTCTGTCGGCCTGCCAGTCTGCATGACTCAGCTGCCGTGCCAGGAGGGCTCAGTCTGCCCAGCCCTCAGATTTGCGGCTTCCTGTACTACAGGGCAGGCCTGTGGGTGAGTCAACTGGCCCAGGCTTCCCCAGAACACTGCCCTCAAGCACAAGCCGCATTCCTCCAGTAGGAGGCTGCCTGCCCTGCCCAGTTGGGGCCAGAGAGCACAGGCGAGGTGGGCCCTGGGACCAGCATGAAGAAGGAGTGGGAAATGTGGTGCTGGGAAGCCAGACCTTGCCCCCAAATCACACACCCAGACTGGAGAACCCAGGGGCAGGCAGGGCTGAGGGGTGGTGGGTGGCCCCTCTACCTGGAAGTGCAGGATGATGGTCCAGATGAGGCCCAGGGTCAATTTAGGGTTGCCATCAGCAATGTCATCATTTCTGATGTTGACCAGCTTCACCTGCAAGCAAGGGGCTTCAGTCCCCCACCCCAGGACTGAGCCAGGGGGCGAGGGCGGGGCACAGTGTATGTGTGTGTTTTGGGGGCTGTTGGGGGGCCTCACCTGACGGTGCCGCAGGTAGTCCAGGGCGATCTGGACATTCTGCAGTTTGTGGAAACGCATCCGGCCTTTCTCTCGGGGCTGTGAGAAAGAGGCCATCAGCATCCAGGATTGTAGCACCCTCCCCAGAACGCCCCCGCAGAGCAGTAAATCCACACCCCAGTGCACCCCCACCCCCCCAGCTGGGAACGGCCGGTCAGGGGCCAGGCCCTGTGGGGGCCTGAAAAGTCCAGCTGCCTGAGCTTCAGTGAGGAAGGAAGGGGGTGGGGAGGACACAATAGCCAGGAAGTTGAGGGTGGAGGGCAGTCCTGGGGTCCTCCCGCCTGCCCGCCTGCCCGCCTGCCCGCTGGTGGCAGGCCCAGCTCAGGCAGGGCAGCAGGCAGGACAATGGACGGTCGGCTCTGATGGACTGTCAGGGCACATGGCTGTCGGGCCGCGTGAGCACAGCTCCGGCGGGTGGTCTGGGGAGCAGGGTGCCGCGTGGCCGGTGGGCCCAACCACTCACCAGGCGCAAGCTCCTGATTACATCCCGCTCTCTCGGCTGCCCAGCCAGAGCAGGGCAAAGGGTAAAGGGCAGAGGTCAAGGTTCACAGTCCAAGCAGCAGAGAAACCAAAGCAGAGCAGAGGGTGAGGTTACTGTGTTGGGGTCTCTCCCAGGCAGGCACTCAGTTGCCGCTCCTGACACCCTGGACCGAGAAGCGCAGTGGGGGGGGAGGGCCCGAGGCCAGGGGGCCCCAGAGAAGACAAGAGGGGCTGAGCTGGACAGAAGGGTAGTGGGAAGTCCAGAGAGGGCAGGCAGGCAGGTGAGATGAGGCAGGACACAAAAGGTAAGCAGGTGGCAAACACATACCAGGCTGTCCCCTGAGAGGACCTCCAACAGGGAGATGAGGTTATGACCATCTCGGAGGTCTTCATATAGGTCACTGATGTGCCTCTGGGCCTGCGAGGACAGAGGGAGCTGATGGCTACCAACCCCCAGGCTCCCCATGGACCCCAGAGGGAAAGAGGTGCCTCCCCCGACCCTTGGAGGTACCTACCTCTGCCCTCCAGTGCTATAAGGAGCCGTCAGAGGGATGGAGTAGGAGGAGGAGAGACAGCAAAGAGTGGAGGAGGAAAGAGGACAGAAAATCACAGGTTTCAGAGATGAAAGCCAGGACGAAGGGCCAAGGGGCCAACGCCAGAGCTTCAGAGCAGGTTAGGGGCATGGAGGCGGCCCGATGCCTGTGCCACCCTGCAAGGTCCCCCCCCCACGACAGACACACACTGAGCATGGTCACACTCAGTCACACATTCAGCGGCATTAGTCTGCACACCCACCTTGATGAGGTGCTTGTTGACCCACTTGGTGAAGGTTTTCTTTTGCACACGGTCTCGTTCATCTGGGAAGACAATGGCAGAGTCAGCCTGGCGCAAGAGGGGGTACACAACCGGGGCCCCTTCAGATCACACTGGCCCCAGGTTTTCAGTCCTGTCTCCCTCCTGAGAGGGGCTGGTCCAAGGCTGGCAGCCGCACCCAGGTGCCTAAAGAACAGCTAGTCTCAACCTGCCCCACCCCCACGCATGCCGCCAGCCGCTGCCCCAGCCAAGACCTACACAGAAGACCTGCACAGGGTTGCTGGGGAGCTGGCCCTGGGCTGCCCAGGAGGTTCCCAGCAGGACACAGGGAACCACTCCACGCTGTGTCCTGTCCCCTGCTGGCCTCACCCACTCTGCCACCACGGGGGCAGCCCTGTACCCCAGGCTGAGCCCCAAGCCCCTCATCTACATCTGTGCCTGATGCTCAGCCCCGGCTGGTACGGAGCTTCCGGACACAGGAAACGGTCATTCCTGCGGAGGCCCACTCTGCCCAATGTGGCTACCTTTCTTGCCCTCTGAGGCCCTGAGCACAGCCAGGTAGAGGTTGTCCTCCGAGCTGGTTCTCTGTTGACCCATGCCCTGAGGTTCTGGCACACGGAGTCTGTGCTGGGACATCCTGGCCTTGTGGGCAGTGCTGCGGTTGGTAACGGATGGCTACAAGCTCAGAGGAGCAGGAATCGGTGTGGCTGTGGCGTCTCCTGCCTGCCGCTCGACCCGTCCGCTGTGCCCGCCCCCCCAAAGAGGGGCGTGTCCCCTGAAGGCAGCAGGCGGGAAGGAGGGTGGCCCCTCCCCTGCAGCCACACCCTGGCTCTCCAGAAACAGGAAACGGGGGTTTCCTCACCCCTCCTGCCTGCGGTAGGCCCTAGAGCGGGCAGTACACCCATCATTGCATGCCTGCTGGTAATGGCGCTGTTTGGAGGGATCCCCAGGTCCCCAAAGGGTACCATCACATGGGGGGCACCTGTGGGTGGCTAGGCCAGGGCACCCCATGAGGTCACGAGCCTTCCAGAGAACATGCCATCATTCCTGGGGTGGAGCAGCCCCCAAGCTGCAGAGACCCCTACTTGTGTTCCCTTTGATGGGGAGAAGGACTCCCTGAACACTGCTTCTTCCAGTCCCTCACCAAGTTACACCTCGGCCCCCGCCCCGCCCCCCACCCACACCCCCCCGGATCCCAGAGCCTCTGGAGTTCGTGGTTCAGGCTGCCCAGTAGCCCCATCCTAGACCAGAGTCCCATCTAGACCCCAAGGACCACCCTGGAGTGGGGCTCCCCACACCCAGTCTGGGGCAGACCCAGCACATAGCTGAGCAGTGACTCACCACACCAGGGTAACCCAACATCAACCAAGAACACTTCCCCACATGGGAGGATGGGGCACAGGGGGGCAGAGGGCGGTGGGTACCAGGAGGGCCCACAGGGCAGCAGTGAGTCAGGCTGAGGAGGGGGTGGTATGAGTCACTGCAAAGGAAGCCCCACCTGGGGCAGGATGGATGGGGGCGGGGCTGGGAACAACACTCAGCAAGGCTGTAAAGCTGATCATCAGGAGCAAAGGTCGCTGCTGACCAGTCCTGGAACGGGAGACCCTGTCTGCAGGTTGTGGAGCCGCCCCAGCCCGCTTAACCACTGCCAAGCCACAAGAATGTTCCAGTTCTGACAGCGCATCTGGCTTGATGGAACCCAGCTGTGGGCTCTACCCTCCCTCTTGCAGCGCTCCCCCCTACCTCCGTTCCGGGAAAGGCTCATGCCACCCCACCCTTGCTGTCTCCTCTGTGGCCACAGGAGGGTGCCAAACGCCACAGGGTGGGGGTGGGGGGTCCAAGCTGGCAGAGTTGGTAAAGACTGTGCCCCTTCCCCAACCCAGAGGCACAGTGGGCCCCCAGGGCTTGGTCAAATGTCCTACCCAACCTCACCCAATTTAAGTCTTCTTGGAGATTCATTCATGGAAGGCCCCCTGTCCCACCAGCTAATCGGTCAAGGCCAGGGGATGCTCAGCAGGGCCAGTTGTCCCTATAACTCCATCTGGGGTCAGTTCTCGGACTCCCCAATCTGCACACAGTGGTCAGTGCCTCCACACAGTGGTCAGTCCTCTAGTACAGTGCCCCCCCCCCACACACACACACACGCTGGTCAGGATGCTGCCCCGGGTGGGTCCTCCACCTCTCCAGGCCCAGCTATAACACCTACTATGGCACTGGATTAATGCGTTTGACTGCAAAGTCGGTGATTCAAGTGCATCAGCTGTTCCTTGGAAACCGTATACAAGGTCGTTATGAATCAGAACCAATTCAACAGCACTTAACTTCTTAGACGCCTCCTGCCAGCAGTGCCCTGGCTTCAGGCCCCAGAGCCCCAGGTTGTCCCTATAACCCTCCCAGCCCTGACCCCGCTCAGGTTATAGCTGCACCCTATCCTATTTAAGCCCCCAACTAGTAGGCACCCCCCCTGACTGGCCAAGCCTACTTTCTCGTTCCGCTCCTGGTCCTTAGCTGGCTCCCTACATCCTAGTCAACCACCCCAGGGCCACCACCATCCATCCCAGAGTCCCCCAAGGGACAGGGGTGGCTCATGGCCCTCTAAGAAATATCTTTATCTCTTGTATAAATGTGGGAACTAATGCAAGAGACCTCTCAGCTGGCAAAGAAGGACCTGGGATGGGAATCCCTTTGCCTGAGACTGGAGTAAATGCTCCCCATGCAATGGTTACAAGTCGAGCTGCTAACCTCAAGGTCAGCAGTTCGAAACTACCACCCGTTCCGTGGGAGAAAGATGAGGCTTTCTGCTCCCACAAAGATTTACAGCCTCGGAAACCCTTTGCAGGGCTGCAAAGTATGAGTCAGAACCAACTCCACGGCTAAGCCCCGCCCAAAAGACCTCGTCCCTCCCACCCTCCCCAATAGGCATCCCAACTGCCGATTCTGAGCCCAGAAACCCGGACTGGCCTTTGGAGTGTTCAGGGGAGGGGCTGACCCGCCCTCTCCCATCCCCCTTCCCAAAGAAAGCGCCAGTAAAGCAAGGGGACACCACCCCACCCTCCTCGCCAGGAGCTTCCGGAATGGCACACGGAGGCGGGGCTACACCTGAATCCCAGTCCCCCAAGATCCCGGGCACCCACCTACGCAGCAAAGCTGCTCGTACAGGTAACCCCTGCGGGCCCACTCGCTGCCCCCGTCCAACCAGCACAGACGTTCCAACACGACCTCCCTCTGCGAGGCGAAGACGCCCACCGCCCCCCACATCCCGGCCTCAACCATGAGCCTGGGCGACTAGGCGTCGCTGATGACGGAGTCTAGGAGTCTTGAATCTTCCAGTGGAGCAGCCGCCCGAAGTTCACCACCACATCCTCCCCCGCCCGTTGGCCCGCCCTCTCTCCCGCCCGAACAAGAAGAGCCTGCCCCTTAGGCCCGCCCTGCGCCCCGCCCCATCCAGGGAAAGCCGCCGGGAGGGAGCCCCTGGGGACGCTGTGCCAGGAAACTCCAGAGTGACGTCTGTTTGCCTGCTTGAGGGGGCCCAGAGCGGGGAGGGGAGCCCCTGGAATTGGGAAGGGGCCCCCGGAGCAGGAAGGTGGGTTGCATGGAGCAGGGAGGGGGACCCTGGTGTGGGGAGGGAGTACCTGGAGTGGGGAAGGGGAGTGCCCAGAGCGGAGAGCAAAACGCTGGAGCAGGATGGAGTCTAGTCACAGCAAAGGCAGGGTGACCACGTCTGGGTGGAGGGAGCCCCTGTCCCCTGGGATCAATTGGGGGGGGGAGTGGATAGGGGGATGACGGGGAAAGGGGGAATTTCCTTCTTAACCAAATCTATGGTCAAGCTGGCGCCACCAGTACTGACACTATAGAACACATCCCGCAGCTGAGTCACAGGCCCCAGGCCTGTGCCCCCAAGGCCCTGGCTTTAGCCAGCCCTGACTCAGCCTGGAGTCCATCAGAGTCCGGAGGTAACACTGAGCATGTCCCATAGGGGGCAGCCCCCTCAGCACCAGATGCTCTAGGAGTCCCTGAGGCTGATCCCCGCTACTACCTCAATATCCCCATTAGGGTACGCAATTCCACGCCCTTGTCTTGAGCTGGAGCCCAAGTTGGCACAGCTGCCCCTCCACCCAGGCGAGGCCCCAGGAGCAGTGCGAGGGCGCCCTGGCTGGAGGGCCGCCCCTGGACTCAGGGTCCGGCCTGAGGGAATAGGAGCAGCTGCCTCACCCTGTGCAGTTCAGCCCCATGGTCTGTGGAGTAAACTCTGGATTAGCTCATGGGGGGCGCGCCCTTCCCCTTCCTCTGCCCAGGGTGAGAGCCTCAGCCTCAGACTGCCCCTCAGACACGATCCTGCACCTGTCAGCTGGGTTTCTGGGTTGACATTCACCTTCGCTCACCCCGTTCCCAAGGCGGCTGGGAGGAGCTGCCGTGCGCTGCCCAGGCCCCAGTCAGCGCCCACACCAGCCTCCACTGACAGCTGCCTGGGGGACTAAGGGGCTGCATCTCAGGGTACGACCAGCGTTCTCCCGTACACGTGGCTGGTGTTTAGCCCAGAGACGGGAAGGGGAAGGTGCGGGGAGACGCAGTGGGCGGGGAAGGAGGCGGCCCCTTCTCCCGCTCCGCCCCTAGCCCCTGGCAGGGGTGGCAGCAGTTGACAGTGGCCGAGTTCGCCCCTCGGCACTTACCTTCTTCGTCCAGTGCCTGCCGACGCCCCCTGCGCCAGTGCCACACGGCAGCCAGAGTAAGGACATGGCCCGCGACCACCAGGGAGGGAAAGAGGTTGCCAGAAGGCTCCATGGCTCGTGGGCCACACAGCCGAGGGACAGAGCAGGCGGGCACCGCCCTGCGTGTGTTAGAAACCTGCTAACTCCCTCCCTGCATGGAGGCGGGTGCCCCGGGTCCGTTCTGCCCTGCTCTGCGCCGTCCACCCCGGCACAGCCCGTCCCTGCCGCACCAACTGGGCTCCTGGCCCGCCTCCTCCCTCCCTCCGCCCACCCTCCCAGCTCAGAGTCGCTCCCCTCCGCAAAACTCAGCTGTCCCTGCGCGCAGGGCACAGGAGGATGGCGCTCAAGGTTAGCAGGAGCCTTAACCCCTGCCTACCCGCAGCCACACCCGCTGGGAGGAGGGGCTTGTAGGGTGACCATGGTCACCACAGCCCCCCACCCCCACCCTGGGCACTGCCTGAGCAGCCTCGCAGGTCCTCCCTCCACAGCCCCACCACAAGGAGGGGAACGGTGGCGCCTGAACACCCCGCTGTGCTTCCAAGGGTGCCCTCTGGTGACAAGTGCCAGGCGCTGAGGGCGGATGCCAGTACCCAGGCTGTGGCCTGCCCCACCCCCACCCAACCACACTTAGAGACAGACAGACTCCCTACCAATACTCCCAGTAGCCACCAAGTCACAGCCTCCAACAGGGTCAGACGGGTATGGGGTGGGGGGGTGAGGACAATGGCGGAGGAAGCAGCTGTATGCAAGGCGGGTGGGACAGAGCCCAACCCCTCCAGCGGAGGCCCCAGGGCCCTCCCATGGCTGCCAAGGGTGGCCCCACCTACCCGGCACGATCTTCATTGGGGATGGTGGTGGGAGCCCACGGGGCGGCCAGGGAGTGGGCGAGGGGTGTGGGGAGGGTCACAGCCCCCTTGGAGGTGGCAGGCGAGCCTGGAGTGGTGTCTGTGACGGGAGGAGGGCACAGCCACCGTTGTCAGCAGCAGAGCCTGTGTCCTCCGTGGGGGAGGGGTGGGCCGGGGGGCAGGGGGAGGGGGGTTATAAATATCCAGGGAGGGAGAGCAAGACCGTCATCTGTCCAGACTTAGAACATGACGTGCAAAGCAGGGCACTGTGGTCCTCGCCAGAGTCCAGGTCCTGCTGGGCAGCGCCACCCGACACCCCCCAGGTCCCCACCCAAAATTCTACTAATAAGGAGCCAGCAGGCAGCCCCAGGGACCTGTCCCAAAACAGGACACTCACACGCAGAGTTCAGGGCTCCCAGCCCCCACCCATGGGAGCAAGCGGGATAGCAGAGGGGGCACTTTGGAAACATAGTGGAGACCAAGGGGGCAAGTCGGGCCCCTTTTTCCCAGAAGGCTCTTCGCACGTCACTCAACACCACACCTGGCCTCAGGATGGACAGTCTCCCCAAGGTCAGACTGCTGGCCAGAGAACCAGCAGCCCCAAATCAGAGCTGGGACACAGAACACAGCCTCAGTCAGCACTGACCACCCTGGGCTCAGGAGACGGGAAGGGACCCTCCCAGCCAGAGAGCAAGCCTGCCAGGTCCCAGCCAAGCGCTGTCCAGTCTGGCCTGCGGAAGTCAGGTGGGAGGCCCCCTGTCAGGAGGCAGGCCATCCTGAACCAGGCAGACCTCGGTTCATGGGAGACAGGACATAGCGTGTAAGGGTGGGGACACAGCCCTGCCCTGTCCTCCCAGGCCAGCCCTGGACGACAGTTGTCACAGTGTAGACCCCACCTAGCAGCGCTGCCTATTTTGACTCTAACAAACCTGACTGGTTAAGTCAGCCATGCACAGACAGCCCTTGGAGTTAATGCTTTCAGCTGCTAGCCAAAAGGTTGACAGTTCAAGTCCACCCGGCGCTGCTTCAGAAGAAAGGTCTGGCAAGTTGCTTCCCACAGCCCACAGCCCTGGAAACCCACATTGTGTAGTTCTGCTCTGCACAACCCAACCAGCTGTACAGCGACTACCACCAGTCAGGCCAGGGAGTTCCTGTGTGGTCTAAGTGAACACACTCAGCTGCCTACCCAGAAGCTGAAGGTTTCAGCCCACCCAGGGGCGTCACAGAAGACAGACTTGGTGAACTACTTCCCCAAAATATAAGCCACTGAACACCCTTAGATCTCACTTTCACTTGGATGCACACAGAGACAACAGGAGTCAGTCTGCCTGACGGCACCTGGCATGCTATTAACCCATTTTACAGATGACCAAAGAGAAAGGGTGAGGCATCCATCCAAGCTCTTACAGCTAGTGTGTGGCAAGAACATGATCTGACGCCAGGTGTTCTGGCCCTGGCGTGCACAGCCTCACCCAGGACTGCCCTGGTTGGGGGGGGGGGGCACCTAGTCTGCACTCGGGAGACTATAGGACGATGAGGAAAGGGACCCATGCTTTCCAACCCCAGCCTTCAGAAACTGGCCTGCAGCAGCCAGCTTCAGCAGTCCCAAGAGTCAGGGCCACAGGCTGACCCACAGCAGACCAGAGACAGACCCAGAGGCAAGTTAGAGCCAGCGCCAGGGCAGCAGTTGGCCAGCAGTGGGCAGGGGACAGCCAGGCAGGCACGGGCCTTGGCCCTCTCTCTGCCTGTGACTCAGAGGGAGTGCCTATGACCAGGAGTGCCCCTTGTGGCAGTGGGCATCCCTTCCGCTGCCCATGGCCACCATCCTCACTTCCCAGATGCCCCCACCTCACTACTTAGACACAGCCCAGAGCAGCTCTCAGAAGGGCCATGGTGCCCCTGCATCCCTGAGCGCTGCCAAGAGTGTCGGGCATGGGGGCAGCACAGAGAGCCCAACCCTCCCCAGGCCCCACTGCAGCCCCTGCCCAGACTGGCTGTCTGCGAGAGCCCTTGTTACTTCCTCCCTCCCTCCATATCCTGCCCCTGCCCCTACTGAGGGTCCACCTTGGCCCAGCTGAATCAGCTCCTCCATGCTGTACTGGTCCATGGCGCCGGGCCGGGCCTGCAGTCCAGAGCCAGAGCAGGCAGAGAGGAAGGGAAGGCAGGAAGGAGGGGAGGGGTGGGAGGCAGGAGGGAGGGCGCTGTCCCAAGCCTCCCCACCCAGCTGGAAGAGCAGTCCCTCCTCAAGCCTTAGTCAGTGCACTGAACCTCAGCAGGGCCAGCCCACCCAATCAGAGCAGCAGCCCCCAGGGCCCAGCAGCCTTCCCTCCAGGCTTGCCCCACCCAGTCCCCTCCCCCTCCCTCCCAGGCCCCACCAGCCTGGCCCTGCCACCCCCACCCCACATGGCTTCCCTTTGCTGCTTCAATGCGCCCATTCCCTCATCCCCTAAAGCCAGTCAGGCAAACCCACGAACTCAGTCAGCCTCATCCCTCCTGTGGTCGGCCCCCGCCCCCCCCAGCCTGGGTAATGCAGTGTGCTGTTGTGGTTGCTAAATACTGCCCTGTCAATTTTGCCTCATAGCGACCCTGTGTACGGTTTCCAAGGAGCAACTAGTGGGTTTGAACTGCAGACCTTGTGATTCACGGTCCAATGCTGATCCTACAGAGCCACACCAGGAGTCCGGGTAATGCAGTGGGGTACCTCC